ACAGAAGGAGAGGGAGAAGCAGGCTCTCCGCTGAGCAGGGAGCCAGACGTGGGGCTCCATCCCAGGACCCCAGGATCATGACCTGAGCTGAAGGCAGCCACTTAACCGACTGAGCCACCCAGGTGCCCCTAAAATAAATAAATCTTTTAAAAAATGGTCAGTAGGTATAAGAAAAGGTGTTCAACGGGGCACCTGGATGGCTAAGTCGGTTAAGGGTCTCCCTTCCCCTTTGATTCAGGTCATGATCCCAGGGTCCTGGAATCATTTCTCGCATCGGGCTCCCTGCTCAGCGGAGAGCCTGCTTCTCCCTCTCCCACGCCCCCTGCTTGTGCTCTCCTCTCTCTCTCTCTCTCACTGCCTGTCAAATAAATAAATTAAATCTTGAAAAAAAGAAGAGAAGGTGCTCAACATCGGTAATCATCAGGGAAATGCAACTCAAAACCACAATGAGATATCACCTCACACCTTTCAGGATGATTATTCCCAAAAAACAAAAAGAAATCAAGTGTTGGCAAGGATCTCGAGAAACCAGAAACTTTTGCACACTGTTGGGGGGAATATGAAAGGGAACAGTAGCTGTGGAAAATAGTGTGGACATTCCTCAAAGTAATAAAAGTATAATTACCACCTTATCTAGTAATCCAGCTTCTGGGTATATATCCAAAAGAATTGGAATCAGGATCTCAAAGAGATATGTGCATGTTTAGGTTTTTTAAGGTTTTAATTCCAGTTAGTTAACAGACAGTGTACCATTAGTTTCAAGTGTACGATATGGTGACTCAACACTTCCGTACAACATCCTGTGCTCATCATGACAAGTGCCCTCCTTAATAGTGCCCATAACCTATTTCATCCCCCTCCCCTCTGGTAACCATCAGTTTGTTCTCTATAATTAAGAGTCTGTTTCCTGATTTCTCTCTCTCTCTCTCTCATTTTTTTCCTTTTGCTTGCTTGTGTGCACATTTGTGTTTACTGCAGCACTATTCACAATAGCCAAGATAGGGAACCACCTAAATGTCCATCGATGGATGAATGGATAAAGAAAATGTGGTATTATATGTCAAAGAGAATATTAAGCCCTCTCTCTCCCTCTCTCAAAAAATTCATTCATTCATTCATTCATTCATTATAAAAGGGGAGCCTGGTGGCTCAGTCAGTTAAGCATCTGACTCCTGATTTCGGCTCAGGTCATGATCTCAGGGTCATGAGATGGAGCCCTGAGTCGAGCTCTGCACTGGGCATGCAGCCTGCTTAAGATTGTCTCTCATGCCCTTCAACAGATGAATGGATAAAGAAGATGTGGTCCATATATACAATGGAGTATTACTCAGCCATCAGAAAGGATGAATACCCAACTTTTA